TAATCTTCTCCTTTACTTTCCCTTTTTGACCAACAAATTTAAGTAGTAGCCTTACAATGTCAAACATAATAAATATTATAATAAATTTGATCTATTAAAGTATAAATTGAAAATTAGATGATATAAACATCAAACATAATAAACATTTTAATAAATATATTTGTCTGTGACAAATGATACATTTAATTTGGTACATAGACTTATATAGGACTTTATCTCATATGTTTCTATGAGATCTTAGGCTATCATCTTTTAACTTAATATTTTAAGCTTTACAAAAAACAAATTTATTTTTTAACGTTAAAACATAGATTTTAAAAAATTCTTATTCGTATTAATCTAACATTCAAGTTAAGATGTTCGTAAAAAAGGAAAGAAAGATATGCATATTAGACAACACTATACTTCTATCCTAGTTTTTCTTGTAAGCAATCTACTGAAGAGACAACAACAACAACAAAAATATAACTCCGATTCTTATTCGTTCGTTAATCTAACATTCAAGTTAAGATGTTTGTAAAAAATGAAAGAAAGATTTGCATATTAGACAACACTATACTTCTATCCTAGTTTTTTCTTGTAAGCAATTTATTGAAGAGACAACAACAACAAAAAAAATATAACCTCGATTTTAGATGTTATTATATTGATTTAATTCTTAGTAATTAAATTATGGGCGGATGTTACTATAAAGATTAGTAAAGATTGGATTTTTTCTATATTTTTTCCTTATAGAATCTAACTCTAATTTTTCCTTTTTAGTGATCTTTTATTGTTATTGACACACTACCTAAAGTAGATGTCTTTGCTATTAATGTGGATAATTTTGATGGCAAATACTTTCCAAAGTAATTCTATAAAAAGAAAAAAAAGGAGAAGACAAGTTCTTTTAAGACTAAGGAGGCAAGATTGCCAATTTTCTTTTTTTGTTCTCCATTTTACTCTCATTTGTTGTTTTATATATATTGATCTTTGATTTCTTTTTCACAATGCAATAGAAGAATGTGTTGCCAATGAGAATTTCCATGCTCTTGACGTAGATGTGCACATAGAGGATGGTGCTTCAAATTACAATTCTAATAGAGCATTAATCGGTTATCTTTGTAACTTTTAAAATATTTCCCTTTGCATGTATGTTGCATTGTTTTTGTTAACTCAACTCCATAATTATAATTAATTAGTAAAGTGAGGAATGTCTCTATTTATATATATTATTTTGGTCATTTTAATAATCATGTTTAACACTTTTCTTTATGTCAAGTAAGGATGACCAAAAACTCATATCTATGGATATTTGCAACTAAAATTCATTATGAATTCTAAATAAATAATTAAATAAGTACCCGCTTAATAATGAAGTTGGGACAAATAGTAAGGTACTTATACATATGATTTATTGTACTTTAAAAATATTAAAATTGTTGTTAATTATATATAAAATATTTTGGTTTAATTTTTTTGCAATAAATATGTCATGATTATTTATTTTTAATTTTATTTTATTTCTTACTATTTTATTAAAAATTTATTTCAACAAATACTCACAGATATCCATAAATATTCATGAATATATAAAAAAATTCATAAATATTCACTAAATGGAAACTTATACTAAATGGAGTAGGTGACGAGAGGCAACTACTTGCCCTCATCCTATCCAATTGTCATCCCTAGCGTCAAGGACTAGACATTTTGAGAGTAAAATTTTGTAAGACTGAACATTTGCAAGTAATCAAATGACAGTGTAAAAGACTTAAGAACAATTACTACGATAAACTCTAATATTATCTTTGATTGTGGATTTGAACCTAATCTAACCCTACAAAATCGGTAAGATTACCCCTACTTATATTGACATTATCATTAGATTTGAAATCATCTCCAGTACCGAAGTTAAACAAACCTATATTTTTTCCTAATAATATTTTTTTCTACTTAAAGATGTGTAAAATAATATTACTAACAATATTTACATACGTAAACAAATAAAAACACCTAACTTTATTTATCATAATCTTCTCAAAATATTTATAAATTTTATTGTATATTTTTTTTGGATAATCATAATATTAATATAAAATATTTATTATAAAAATAGTGACTAATATTTATAAAAACTGATAAATATAGTTATTCCTTTGTAACATAATGTATTCCATTGAATTTATCGTACATAGTAACATGAAATTCACATTTCTAACAAGTTCTTGTCATGTGGAAAAATCAAATGCGCCTATATAACACTTCGGTTACTCCTTGACCAAAACTGTTGGCTGCTATTGATCCATTGTACCTGAATTTGTGTTTACACATCCAATATTGACAACACCTATTCATTCAAAAAGTCCATATTCCATTATTTGCTCAATATTGTTCAATGGAATAGAACTAATTAATTAGGCGAATATTTACGTACTTTTAGTACTATTTTTTAATTAACATGAGAATTTTATTTCAATAATCTATATGATAAAAAATACACCAGCTTCTGAGGTGAAATCCAAATTTTAGTTGAAAAACAGAAGGAAAAAAAACTTAAAAAATTACATATAAATTTATCCTAAAATATAATACGTTCTTTATTGTTATTACATAAAGTTTATTAACATTCATGAAATAACCCGAGTCTTATTCTTTAGTTAATCAATCTTCCTCATTTTGTGCATCTTATATAAGATTTCAATAATCTGTTAAAAATGAGTTACTGCCCTGTTTAAGGTTTATTATTATAGGACAAAGGTTAGTTATAATTCATTAGATCAGTTGGTGTTATATTATTGAGATATACATTAAATATAAATACATAATAATATTAAAGTAAAATTTTAAATCTAATTAAAAAATAAAAGATATTAAAAAAAATTGTAACTAAGTTTTATGGGTCTTAATTATTAAACAAGGATCCTCCTTTTCACTGTTGGAATTATTTGACCGAGTGGTTGTGAATCTTGTGATGTCTCTGACCGTCAAACTCTGTTCTGGTACCTAAGTGTCCTTCACTCATTCAAATAATTGCCACAACTTCATTTATCATATCTCTTACACCCAAACAACTCCTATCTGCGTGTGCAATTGTTTATAGTAATTTAACCACAAATTATATGAGGGCCACAACCACAACCTTTTCATTTTTTGCACTTTAGCTAACATGTTGCTTTCTTTATACCAAGTATTCAACTTCATTATTGACTAGTGTTTTGGTTAAAAAAATTAATTGAGAAGTTGAATCTAATTACAATTGATTTAACAAACATGTTATGGGTGCACAAAGCAACACAACACCCATAGACATGAAATGAAACTCAACACGTGCATGCAACACATAGACACATCCCAAACTTGGTACATGTAATCACATGACATAAGATGATAAATCTCAGCACCAGTGCCTCTATTGTTGCCCTTGGGCTGGGTCCCACTAGAAGCCATGCGTCTGCCAACTGTTTTTAACCTGACTAAGAAAGAAAAATGTTTGGGCCCATGGGCCCCACATTTACCGCCACCCCCTTTCCCCTAATGACAATCCATTAGAAAAACAAACTTAGCCCATGGACCGTAGTGTACTTGCCCTTCTTTTTCTCCTTTGCCAACTTTGTATTTGCATTGGTGGCCAAGGCTATCCCAATTAAATTATTATTATAGCATCATGCACATCTACGTTCATTTCACAGCCAAAAACTCACACAGCACTACCAACGGCCTACAACCTTCCACGTGTCAACCACCCACCATCACCTTAAGGGTTAAGTACTTCTCTCTCTTTCCCATTCTATAATAGTAGCAACTGAGATGGAAGAAAACTGAACTCGTAGGTTATTACCAAAGTTTGCATTAAATTTTATAGGAATATTTCGTCTCCAACTAACCCCCACAACACAGTAATCAAACCCTTCACCACACACAACCTTCAAGTAATTTTTGATTAGATCATAAATAGGCATTAGATATAGACATAAGATAAAAGACATGCTCACTTCTTCTTCTCAACTTCATAGGCCTTATTTCCTTCCAATAAACCACTCCAAATCACCAACTTCCTTTGACCTACACACCCTTTGGGCTGTTAGCACCAATCTCATCCTCTTGCTATCCTTCAGATTGATTTCTCTCCTGTCACCTCGATCAAAGGGCTAAAAACTTGATACTTAGATTGGTCTTTCACGGCTTCATCTTGTTATTGCTTTCAAGGGGTGATCGATATGGGTTTGAGTTCTAAGCAGGTTTCTAGCAGTGGACTTGATTGGAAACAAACCTTATTGGAGGCTCAAAACTTGGAGCTACCAAAGCCTAATCTGATGAGGAAACAACAGCAACAACAAACTCAGCCTTCAGAGTCTTTGAAGTGTCCGAGATGTGACTCGACCAACACCAAATTTTGTTACTACAACAACTACAACAAGTCTCAGCCTCGCCATTTCTGCAGGGCTTGCAAGAGGCACTGGACAAAAGGTGGAACCCTACGCAATGTTCCAGTTGGTGGTGGCAGGAAGAATAAGAGGGTCAAAAAATCAAGCACTCCAACAACACCTTCCACCACCACCACCACCACTACTTCTACTTGCACTGCCACTGGCACAACCAACATGGATGCTATGTTAGGTAGCCACATGACAATTCAAACTTCTCTTCCAGATGATCATCAGAAAAACATGGCTCCCTCTCTCTACCATGCTCTAATTCGTCCACCACCTTTGCTGCTACATCAGAATCTGATGAACACAAGAGACTTAGAAGGCAAAGATCATTTTGGTATTGGTATTGGTATTGGTATTGGTAATATCTTTCCGAGTTCAACTTTGCCTCTTCCTCATCAAAGCCAAAGCCCACTCTTCCCTTTCTCAACCTCAAGCAGCTCTTTTGACACCAACCCTTGTTCAGTGTCAACCTCTCTGAGATCCTCGAATGTTTATAACTATGGGGAGGAGTTTAAAGCAATGGAGGAACCAACCATCAACAGTACCATAGTGCCTAGCACAGGTGGCACTAACACACAACCATGGGAGATAGCAGCAACAAGTGGTGCTGGCTTGGGAAGTTCAAGCTATTGGAATTGGGAGGATTTTGACTCATTGGTCTCAACTGATCTAAAGGATCCCTGGGATGATTCTGATATCAAACCCTGAGACCAAAACATTATGGTAGTGTCCATAGATTAGTTATTTAATTTAATTGGGGTGTTTTTGTGTTTCATACAGGTTAGTAAGTGGTCTTGTTTTCCAGATGGGGCATACATATTCTGTGGTGGTCTTTCTGCACCTTTAGTTCTTTCAAACACAAGTATTTGGAGCTGTCATGTTTTAGTTTCAGCTTCAAGCAAAAGGGTCCAAAATTTCTGATTAGTTGTAACTCACTCTGTTTGCCTCTTTGCTCATCTCTCTTATCATTTCCTCTAATCTCTAATAAAGTGGTGTATTAATGTATGCAAGTAGTGATCTAGCATTATTATTTATATTTTTATTTTCGGGAGTTTTGTGAGTGCTTTGTGATGGGAATGATATAGATATGGGGTCTGCTCCAGCAGTGCTGAACTGACAGAATGTGATTGGAAGATTCTTTGGACATGTATATATCTCGGAATGGTATTATCATACGGACTTTATTGCTCATGATTCATCATCACCACCACCACCACTTCTTGAGAATCATTCTTTGATTTCGGGACTGAGAATTCTGGTTGTACATTATTTTACTACTATTATTATTCTATTTCTATCATATGTTTCTGGATCATTTCTCTGTGGCCTTTTATTTTGGTTCACATGGTCTTGTCATCTTTCTTCCAATTTAATAGAATAGTAACAGTGTACGGTATCTTGGACCAAGGCTTTGTTTCTGAATTATTGAGCAGTGGAACAATAGTATTGAGAGTTTTGAAATGTTATTGGATCAAATTTAGATCTGCCTTGGTGAATCACGAGCAATGAATTAAATATGTTGGATTGGTGTGATTCTTAGATTTGAATAATGTGATTAAATTGGTGAACAATAGCAGCATTGTACTTTATGCATGTGAGGACTCAAGCCTAATCAGCTGCCACAATCATATGATGGGATACGCATGCGTTTCTCATATATTATAAGTGTGACATTGAAAACATTGAGTCACCATGCAAGTTGTCACACTAAACGACGCCACAACGCCCAGTCTTTCTCTTAAGTACCTACAATGTTACTTACGTTGCTACTGCTGAATACGAATATGAATAAATTGACCCATTAAGTTGTACTATATAATTTTCCATCAAAATAAATTTGGATATATATATATATATACATTTATACAAAAACACCTTTCAAGGTTCCCCTAATAGCATTATTTTCCCCAAATATTTATTTTTGATCAAATTATTTTTAAAAAATATTAAGATTTTAAAGTAAGTAACTCTATTGATTATTTTTTATTGTGATGGATGAATAGTATCAATTTAAAGATAAAAAATATATAATTAAAAAAATGGAAATTATGTGGTAATTATTAAATTGTTTCCTCTTTATAGTTTTATAATAGGTATAGATTACAGCTAATTAATTTTGGAAAATACTAAAATCATAAAAAGAAATTGTAAAATACTGTAGATTTTATATTGAGGTGGGTATACGACTGTATGAGTAGCAACCTACAAATTGTCCGTTTAATCCACGAACTATACGGTCCATGGGACTTAAAATATAAAATCCATTTAAATGAAAAATGAAAACTTTTCTCCATGAAAATTGGCCATGGGACTCCAAAAAAAGGTGAAATAAATTTCTTTGTGTACTTAAATTAATATGAAAATTTTTGAGAAAGTTAAAGTAAATTTTTTAGAAAGTTAATATGAAAATTCTTCAACAAATTAGTTTATATAATCTAGTTTTAACTTATATAAAAAAAAAATTTACTTTTAATAGTATTTATAAAAAAAAATTAACTAAACATGATTTTATTCCAATTTGTCTCGCCACAAGTTTAAAGAGTTCGATCTACGGATTAACAAGCTGACCAACAGGACATTTATTTTTATTAATTATTTGTTCTGTATTTTATTACGATATTTATTATATTATGAAATTTAATCAATAACCCATAAAAAGGAAATAAAAAGAATTACAATTGTTTAAACCTTATTTTGATTTCTTAGTTAATTTGTTCATTTTTTTTATTTTTTATCCATGGTCTGCGGATTAACTTGTTTAATGGGTAGTTACACAGAAGAAATGCAAATTAAGAAATAAAGCTCATTTCTCATTATGATCTGAATTTGTGAGCTAACGTGGACCGAACCTAAATGGGTCAAAGTAACCCTATACTCATATATATATAAATACTTATTTTTTGAACCTAAGGTATCTCTTAACTACGCCACTGGACAAGAACTTATGTTCTAGGCTAGCCAAACTTAAAAAAAAAAAAAAAAAAAAAAAAAAAAAAAAAAAAAAGATCAAATATGCAATTTTTTAAAAATTTTAAAAATTATTTGATATTTCGTTTTATTAATTTAAATTAACGGATAATCATAAAAATATATCATCTGACAATTTGAATTAATGAGAATTAACGAATAATCATAAAAACATATTATTTGTCAAGTTTTTTTTTGGTGTTGTGGAAAAAATAAAGGACAAAAAACAAGAAAGAAATGAAATTAGTATAGGGAACAGAGATCCTCCTCGTACACTTGAAATACAAAATTTGGAGGACTCCTCCATGTTACATGTTGAGTCCCTAGTCTAGCTCCCCAACTTGCAAGAACATGAGCTACTTGATTAATCTTTCTCGGGATCCCAGTAAATACAACTCGTCAATCTTTCCCCACCAAATCTTTGATATTATTGATTATATCTCTATGTTTATGAACAAGATTCCTCTCCCAAATAGCGCGTTCAATCGCAGATATCGCATCAATACAATCTGCCTCGCATACCACTTGTTTGTAACCAAAATTCCAACAAAAAGATAATCCTTCCTTTATAGCCAAAAGTTCAACTCGTAAAGGATCACCCCCTATTTCTGAACTAGCAAAACCACCCAGTCATCTCCCTACGCTATCTCGAATAACCCCTCCAAACCCCATCCTATTCTGACCCTCCAACCAGCTACCATTAATATTTACTTTAATCCCTGGATAATCCGGTGGGGACCAGCATGTGTTTTTCAACCATGTTTTCCTAGAATTAAGCCACCAATTCAATTCAGAAAGGGAAACATGCACTTTCTTTAGCACCGAAAGCATTGACCAACGCGGACCTTGAAAAACCATATTGTTCCTAGAATTACGCTATTTAAAAAGTTAATTAGATTTAATAGATTAGTCTATTTAAATAAAAAAAATATTTTTTTTATTTTTATTATACTAAATTTGTTATAATGTATTAAAATTATTTATTTATTGGTCTCTTTTAAAATATTAAACATGTTAACTAACATAAAAAGTATAATTTATAAGTTTATTGAAAGATAAATTTATGTTTTTTTATAAATATTTTCGTAAAATATATTTTTAAATAAGTTATTATCATGAATGGTATATTAAACTTTAGAAAATGTTTATAATTAATATATATATATATATATATATATATATATATATATATTAAACTTGATTTTTATAAAACCCATTATTTTTATTTTCATTTTTATGTTTGTGTTAATTAAATTATTACAAAATAGGTCTTTAAATAAACTTGTAGGTTTCGTGATACTTTTATTTAATTTAGGTCAGACTTAAAAAAAAAAAGTCCTATGTGTTAACCAAGTTCAAGATAAAGATATAAATTTAGTTTTAATAATTACAATATAAATCTCTTGAATAATAAGAGTGCAAATTGTATTTTATTATGTGTTTATGCGTTTATGTCTTGTTGCATGTTTGTTTTGTGCTTTTTAGTTAACTTAACTTTAAATCTACATGTAGATGATGTTTGATAAAGAAAAAAAGTTTTAAAATTGATTTGAAAAGAGATCTTATTATAAAAAAATCAAAGTATTGAGTTTTGACTCAAAATAATTGATATCACTTAAAATAATTGACATTTTTTTTTTGTTTTTCAAAAGCTGAGAAGTATTACTATAATAATCGATTACCTAGTGAAATAATCAATTATTGATCAAAAACATATCTTTGGAATAATCGATCATCTTGATAAATATTCGATTGTTATTAGTGGATTTTCATATCTACGAAGAACATAATAATCGATTATCCATAAGAATAATAGATTATTTTTGTCAGAAAACTCTATATATCATTTTTTACTTTCATAACTCAGAACTTGAATCTTTGTGATACTACTTTTGATAAAAAAAAACTCTTTGAAAAACATTTCTCTTTTAAAGAAGAGGTTTGATACCATTTGTGGGAATCTCAGGAAGGAATCCAATAATTAAATTGATCATCATCATCTTCATGAAGATATAGGCTAAGCTACACTGTTTGATTCACCTGTCTGAATTGTTTTGTATATCAGGTGTTCCTAAATCCCTCTGTAACTAGTTTTCTTAAGTAGGTTTCTTAAGAAAAGGAATTGTTGTAGTTGGGTGCTACAAGAGAAAACTTCTTGGGGTTTAAGAAGTGTGTCTCTAAGAGTGTAGGAGTAAATTTCATGTGTGCATGTAATCGTTTGACATTAAAGATTAATGAAAAATCTCAAATGAGTTGATTGGAGATTGAATGTGGATTGCTTGTGTGGTTGAACTAGTATAAATTTGTTGTGCATTTTTCTGTATCCCTGCACTTGTCTTTACTTTCTTGCAATTCTAATTATATGCTTAACAATGTAATATGTTTCAAAAACATTGCATATAGAATAATTAGAAACTAAACTTGCATTAACAAGTGGTCTCAACACAGCATCCTACATATAGTTGTGAATCAATATACTTATTGGAAGACTTTAGAAAAGTTTATGAACCAAGAAAATATGAAAGTTTTTTTAATATCTAATTCATCCCCCCCCCCCCCTCCCTTCCCTCTTTTAGATAAGTCATCTTTTCTAACATTATGGAAATAATCATATTAAACTTAGATCATGTATTTTTCATTAAGGTTAGGTTTAGATTTAGTAAAGTTTATTTTAACCTGACATATTTTCACATTCACTCTTAACCAAAAGTTTATAATTTTTATCGAGATACTAAGAACTATTTAAGAGAATATCCTCTCTCGATAGAAATTATTTTATATGCATAAACTTAGAATCCATCTTTAAATAAATACTTAAAGAAACATGATCCTTTATCAACAAAATCACTTTTATTATACATATCTCTCTATATTTATAAATATACAATTAGTACCAATATGTTTTTCTTACCAAAATTGTTTATTACCATTAAGGGAAGGAAGTTGGTGGGACCATTCCTTCTTATCATTGAAAAATATTATTTTTTTTCTTAATTAAACTTTTTGTTCTTATGTCTTATGATTTCATAAATTTTGTTATCTA